TGTATTAAAGTTTTTAAAATTGGGAATTCATCGCGATATTCTTTCATTTGAAGGAAGAATTCCTTTTGAAGAGACAGTGTGACCTAAAAAATTTAATTGTGAAACTCCAAACTCACATTTTGAGAGGTTAAGTCTAATACCATATTGGTCTAATCGATTAAATAGTTGCTTAAGATGATCTAAATATTCATCTTCATCCTTGCTCGCAACTAATATTATCATCCAGATAAACGAAAATAAAGTTCAAACCTTTAGTCACTTCGTTGATGAACCTTTGGAATGTTTGAGCAGCATTTCGTAATTGCAGTTTTATAAATATCTTCTTCTGCAACTGGGATTTGATGATGAATTTGCAAGTTAAAATCTTGAATGTTTGCTAAGGGATATCTATCTGGTATCGCAAGAACATTCAATTGTCTATACTATAGACTCTATAGTTTCCACTAGGACGACAGGTTGTAGAATCTTTTTTACTAACCATATGAAGAGCTGAAGTAACAGATCATTCATGTTATAAATTCAATTTATATTTTTATACAATTTTATAGAATTATTCAAAAATTAAATTTGTTGTAATTATAAAAATAAAATATGAGATATATTAAATCTGGAGAGAGTTACCTGTGTTTATTTTAAAATTTTTTTGCTATTAAATGCTTCTTAATAATCGTCTAAGTGAAAATCGTAGCCATTGTTCAGTTCATCTAATTGCATACTTTGGAAATCCACTTTGTATCTCAATAATTTTATGATTCCACCGAAATCCGGAATAAATTGCGATCCTTTCTGCGATTTATCCGTTATTTCGAGAGTAGCATCAAAGTTTTTATAGTTTTTTGCCAACCATTCAACTAAAGGCTGACATACAACCAATTCCAATTCAACGCCGCTATCTTTATCGGTGAAATACAGACAATAATACAGTTTCCTTCCAGCCGTGTGATTCTTCAAGACGTACCTTTGAATATAAGTTCTCCCAACAAATCAGAACAAATTTCAAATGAACCCAATTCCAAGCCTTTTAACGTACCTTTAACGCCAAAACAATACTTCAATCACTTCTTCGATCACGTTTTGGACGTCGGGGTCACCAATTGATGTGATAATTACATCAAATAATTATTTATATTATAATAATAACCACTTATCAAGCTTTTAATTAACGTCGACCTTAATTAATTTTGCTGTGAAGCCTGTTTATTCACTACCAATTTCTCTTACAAGGGAAGTATCAGAACTGTCCCTCACCGATTTTGTTGAAATTTGGTACAGCGATAGTATGCCAAAAATAAGGTTTACGTATTTTTTTATACGTGCCAATAAAGCTCCTGGGGCGAGTTATAAGGGTTGGAAATCGGGGCAAAATATATATATTTGCTTATAGGCTGAAAACGAAAATAGCTATCGAAAGTTAAGAACGTGTTTAAACATCCATAGACAAACATTGTCACATTGACAACTAGAAAAATTAATGACCCAATGTCACCAACTTAAACTGATTCCATAAAATGCTACTAAAATCTCATTACAGCATCGGATGCTATAAAGAGTGTCATTACAGCACCCGTTTGAGTACTGTAATAGCTTTCATTACCGTCGCGAATTACAAAAATATGTTTACACCATGCACAAGTTATAACAGCTATTTCTCCACAGAGATCGCACGTAGGTTTTTCATTGGAAAAGCAAAACTCCACGAGATTTTCAAACTGTTCTGGTCTCTCCTCTATATATCCAGACGCAAGCCACACGTATTTAAAAACATTAATAAATCGTGGGGAAGACAACTGGTTATGCGTTAGGGATTGCAATTTTAAAATATTATCTTGCTGATGCAAATTGACATCGTACTGGTAGAGAATAATGTGATCAGAAAATCTTTTAATGAAATTATTCCATATTCTAAAACCAAGTACATCCAGGGGTTGAATTTGACCTGTTGTTCCTGCAGGTATAGACAAATATTTAAACTTAACATCCGATGAAGCTACTTTACTAATAATTTCAGGGCAGTGGCCACTCCAAGAATCCAGTAATAGTAATAATTTGGGTCCGGTGTTTGGGAAATAGACATTTTGTAGCCAATTTTTCATATGAGCAGAAGTCAGTTTACCAGACTTTGATGCCAAAACGAATATGTTATCTGCTTTGAACATTGTATTTATTACCCTCGGTCCAAACGTACCAGGGGATTCTAACAATGTAGAATACAATTTTTGATGCTTAACCATTTTTTTTCAGTTGCTTTTTAATTCATTATTAATAAATATTTATATAATTATCCAATTTTTTGTGTTATTTAAATAGAATAAGGATAAAAAAGCTTTTTCTGTAGGAGTACGAAAGTTATTAGCGAACATATATTTTTTACCACAAACTTCTAACCCTTGTTCTTGCAATAGTACTAACGTATAAAAAAATCAGCGTGGTAAATTGCTCCAAAATCGACAAACAATTTTCGCAAAAAAAAATTTATTTGGGGTGGTTAGGGTAGTTAACCCCCGCCACCCCTTAATGTCCTATAGGGTTTATTTTACTGCGTAAATCTTAATTTACATCTAATTAATGGTTTTCTTCAAAATATTGTTCAAAAGTGTAACAGTTTATCACATTATTCTTAAGGAAAGGGGTTATCTATCATACCCCGTAACTTTGCAGGGGATGACAGGGTAGTTTTTAAAATATTCCAAAAAACTAGGGGTAGTTTACCCCCTGAAGCCCTCAGATATATGTGTGATATATCTTATTTTTGGCCATACTATCGCTGTACCAAATTTCAACAAAATCGGTGAGGGGCAGTTCTGATACTTCCCTTGTTAGTGCAAATTGTTTGGTGGATGTAAACAGGTTTTATTAATTAAATTAAATATTTTCAAAATATCTTCTATGAATTCATACCGATCCTGGTATTTTCATAGTTTTCGTCTTTTCCCTTACTTTTAACCGAGTTAGAGGTTGGTAAATCCTCTGTTGGGGCGAATAAAGTTGTTTGACATCTTGAAATCCGGGTAGGACTCTTAGAACTTGAATGCTCGAACTTGGAGTGTCATACATATAGAAACGGTAAAGCTTATAATGAAGGACTGCAACCGGTGCGAAAACTCAAGACCTCCACATTTAGAGATCGATATCTTTACAACTGTTCGATTAAAAAAAAAATGATAAATAGCCGAATGCAGGAAAACCAAGTAAAAAGTGGGAAGATGCTGTAGAGGGGGAGACATGGATGGGGGTGCAAAGTTGGAAGAGATCAACTCTAGGTAGATAATAATAAAACAAACTTACCTACTATTTTTTTCATCAAACTCATGGGTTGTGAAGATATCGATCTTTAAATACAAAACTTTTGGCACGGATTTTAAAGGATATACTCTCAAATAACAAACACAAATTTTTCATATAATTCGTCTATAACAGTATTAATAAGTATTTAAATGTAAATCTGTTAAGTATTTAAATTTGGAGCTTCAACAAAGACCCCTTTAAAAGTTGTAGAAAATCCTCTAAGCCAATTAAGGCTTGAACAACTAACCAGGAAGCGTACTAATTAAATTTCAGGTTTGGCGACCAAAGATATCCGGTAGAACCATACGGACATTTGCATAACATCGTATCCGAAGAACAGAGAGTTTCACAAAAAACTTTAATTAGTTGATCTTTGACGATGCATACAAGTTATAATAGTTCCGGATTTATCTCGTTATCATTAGGGTAGGCACACACGGTCGATTTTTAGTCGGCCGATAGTTTAGTCGATGGACATAAATGTATTAAGTTTAATGTAGGTGCGCACACAACACGACTGCAGATCAACTCGATTTTTTAATCAAAAGGAGTCGATGTGCACNTACGAACTTCAAAATAATTTCCAGCTATTTCTCTTGCCCACTTTGCTTATAAAGATTTTTTTCCCAAACCTCTAGGCCTTACCGTTGTTGAGATACAGCCGCTCCGTACGCTTAACGGGACACCCTGTATACTACACTAAATACAGTGTGTTAATTAATTATCGTACCCGACGTCATCATTGCAAGTATGCAACCAATATCTCAGTGCAATACGCATTATACGCAAATCGTGTATTGCAATACCAATATTGTGATAATGGTTGCATACTTTCAATGATGACGTCGGGTACGATAATTAATTACCACATTGTATATTAAAGTAATTCAACTACATTATTTTAAAAATTTGAATTATTTCCAGGTATTATTCAATATTCAATACAATATAAATACAAGTTGTTTCGAAATCGATATGTGTGTGCATACAACACGATTTATGAACAACTAAACAGTTTAGTCGGTTATAAATTGATAATGCATCGCGATTTCAAACAAATCCAACTAAACAGTTTCGTCGATGAATAATCGACCGTGTGTGCCTACCCTTAAACTTGTTGTATTTGGTTTGTTTTAGAGGTAGTAACGCGAAGTTGAAATATGCAAAAAAAGGAATTTATGTAGAAATTTTTGATAATATATAAAAAATGTTTATGCCACAGCCACAAAAAAAATTGTACCTAAATTGCTTGTGGGGCGTGGAAGTAATATATTTACGGGCGGATTCTCGACTACAGGTCTGGGAAGTTGCAAAAAAGAAAATAAATGATATCACCACCACTAATGCTACGCCAACATATCATTTTGACAGTTTTAGTAGCCAACTAACTTAATTACGCATTATCCACCTTATTTAATATTTCGTTAACGACCTTTTTTACCACACATATTTTAAATTATTCATTAGTTAACAACTGTCAATCGTTGGAAAATTCAACTTTAGATTAATAGTGTTCGTATTCCATGATAAATTGGCTATCTAAAAGCAAAGTGATCTATTGTTTTTCACTCTCCAGAATTGCATTCTTATACCTAGACAAATCGACTTCTCCTCCGTTGAAATGGAAACTTTAAAGTACCCCAATCAAAAGTTATCGCTTTTCAAAGTTCTTTAGTGATCTTATTTAACATTTTATTTATTTGTTTCAGGTAAATACAAGCCTACAATAGAAGGTTTAATGTACCTAAATCATCATGAACACGACGTCGTTATCACTACAACCGAGTTATTACTCGACGGATCAAGATCAAATAAATTTGACGACAACGATTAGTCCGTCGACAACAACGATCTTTGACGCATCGAACGTTACGAATAATTCTTATCCATACGTTAATGTAACTGCTGAATTACCATTAGCATATGCGATCCCGATGTATGGTTATATAATGCCTTTTTTACTTATCATAACGATCGTAGCGAACACGTTGATCGTCATCGTATTGAGTAAGAAGCATATGAAGTCGCCCACGAATGTCGTTTTAATGGCTATGGCTATATGCGACATGTGTACGCTTCTATTTCCGGCTCCTTGGCTGATATACATGTATACGTTAGGGAATCATTCGAAACCTTTATGGCCGATTGGAGCTTGTTATTCTTGGTTCGTAATGCACGAGGTAAGTAAATTTTGTTATGTAAAATAGAAAATTTTATTTGTTATGTAATTTTATTGTTCGTGAAATAACAACAAAGAAGGAATTACGATGATAAAACTCCGCAAACTTCATTAATTATTCGTAATATAAAAAGTCACGCATATGAAATAATTTTAAGATAAGGTTATAAAGGCATTTGAAATTGAATGTAAAACGAGTAGTATTTAGGTCGACAACGTTTATTAAATAGTTGGCTATAATTTAAAATATTTTCACTTTTTAATTGCATCCACATAATATAGATATTTAATCTTATTGTTAGATTAAGAGAATGCAAATTTTATGATTCGAATTCCATTTTGATATCAAAATTCAATTTTAATTAAATACAGAGAATCTCCTTGAATTTACTATAAAAGTAGCACAACCACGTTTAACTTTAATTCAACATTTGTGAATTTCATATAGTTTCAGCAATTGCAACCAAATCGATAAAATTAACGCAATATTGTGAGTTGCAAAATGGAAAATAATGGCGTTGGAATGAACGGATTGAATAAAAATAGAATAAAATACGAATGAAACGATGAACGTTCGTAATTGTGAACTGAATTTGTTGTTTAGTTCATTTTGAATTCGGAATAAATCGGGAAATTCGATCAGTTAATTATTGCTAATTTTAATGCAGCGAAAAAAAACATTTGCAAACGTTTTCATTAAAATAGAATGCGATGGCCGGGAATCAAATCCGGATCAACTATCGCTTGTTACCGAGGCGCTACAATTAATATCATTTCAACTTGATTATTTTACCCCCTTCTTGACATGGTAAGAATATGTGTACAGGTTCAAATTTGATGTCCGAATAAGCTAATTTGGAAACTATAAGAGTTAGAAAAAAAGTAGCTTACATGTCATGATCTCGTTTTTCGAGAAACTGCTAATGTAAAACCAGCAAGTGCAATTATTATCTTGGTTATTATTATAGGTGGAGTATTATAACTAAGACATTGATTATTCGCTTATTAAATTCGTTATTTTTTTCTGATTACAAAAATATAGGGTTTGACAGGTCTATTTCTTATTGTTTTAGAATAAAGCTAAAAATAAAATTTTTTTTTAGTGTCGTCAAAGAAATTAAATTTACAGTTTCCTGTAAATTATAACTAAAAATTAAAAAAACATATTTCTGATATATGAAACAAATACATTTGTTGAACTATTTAATTTATATTTGTTTTACACAAAAGTTGGAATAGATCACATTTTTTATTAATATTTAATATTATTATTAAATGACTCAATAAATTCTTGATAGATGGCGCTCATTAATTTTTTTTTATTTCAAATAAACAGCAATTTGTTTGTATTCAAAAATTTTCTAAAGTGTCAAATTAAAAATCCTGTTTTTTAAGATGGATTAAGAAAATTACGAAAAGTTTAACATGTTAGAGTGTTACATATTACAAAATAAAGTAAATTTTATATAAATTTTTAGTAAAATAATTTTTAGTTATAGTACCATAATTTACAGAAAACTGTAATTTAATTTTTTTTGACGACATTAAAAAAAAGTTTATTTTTAGATTTATTCTAAAACAATTAGAAGTAGACCTATCTAACCTCATATATTTATAATCAAAAAACAATAACGAATTTATTAAGCGAATAATCAGTGGTTAAAACCGAAAAAATTTTTTTTACTACGTCATCAAATTCTCTGTAAAAAGAGATATATTTTATTTACATTGTTAAATATAGTACCTTCATTTCTTTTCTGCTGTTATAAGTTTTATTCTATTATGAAAGTTACAAAATGTGTGAAAATCAGGCTTTGAGGAGAATTTGTAAATGCAGAACCATGGGCTGTATCTTCGAAAGTAGCAAACTCCTTCGTTTTGATGTTAATCACAAAGTCTCCTTAGATTCTAGCGCTCAATAGCTTTTGTTTCATATCATTTCCCTCAAACCACAGTCAACTAATAATTTTAAATTAACTAATAATTAACAAAATTACATTTTTTTCAAGTTTCTACGAAAACCATACATTTTAGATATACGAATGTTATGACAAAGTTCCCTTATTTTCCAGCGTATAATACGCTGGTGAAGGAAAAAATTGGGGTTGCCCTTTAAAAAAATGAAGTTTTCTGCTTTTCGAGATAGGGAAATTCGACGCAAATTTCTGACCAACCTGTATAATTTTTTCAAAAACTTTTCAAGTGTCATCATTTTCAACATTTTCCTTTAGTCCGGTTACGGAGTGTGATGTTATTACTGCAATTTCTTCAATTAAAAGTAATGCTGCAGATATTAATAATCTAAATATTGCATTAATAAAACTATCATGCCCACACATTATAGATTATTTCATACATATACTTAATACTTGTATAAACCATGGCGTATTCCCAGACGCATGGAAGTGTGCTTTGGTTAAACCACTGGTGAAAATTAGCAATCCTACTGAGTTTGCTCATTTAAGGCCTATAAGCATTCTTCCAGTTTTGTCTAAGGTGGCTGAAAAAATTCTTATTTTTCAGCTGAGAAAATTTATTTATAAAAATAATATTTTGCCAGAGACACAATCAGGCTTTCGGCCTGGATATAGCTGTACCAGTGCGCTACTTCATGTTGTTGATGATATTGTTTCTGGGCTAGACAGGGGAAATGCGACCGTATTATGCCTTTTAGACTTTTCAAAAGCCTTTGATACCATTAATCACGATTTGTTGTTTTCTATTTTGAAGTTTGTTGGTTTGGACGACATGGCAAGCGCGTTGTTACGTGATTACTTAAGAAATCGTCAGCAGAGAGTAATTGTTGAAAATGAATCCTCAGATGCTCTCTATTTGTCATCCGGTGTTCCGCAAGGTTCGGTACTTGGACCTCTTCTTTATACTATATATACGAGTCAGTTTGTTACATACATAAAATATTGCAAGTCTCATTTTTATGCTGATGATACTCAGTTGTATTATTCATTTCGGCCGGACGATGTGCGATTTGCTTGTGAGCGTGTTAATGAGGATCTGCAGAGTGTGGCCGATTGCTCTAGACGTCATAGTCTTCGGATTAATCCTGCGAAAACTGAAATGATTCTCTTTGCACCTCAACGGCAAAGACAAAATATACTTGCTCAACTTAAAATTTCTGTAGATAATACATATGTCCCTCTTAACGAAGTAGTAAAAAGCCTTGGGTTAATTATTGACAGCGGCCTTAAGTTTGCAGAGTTTATTAATAAATGCACACAACGTGCATATTGTAATTTAAAATTAATTTATAATAGCAGACACTTTTTAAATAGAAAAACGAAAGTTATGCTATGTGAATCATTGGTGTTATCGAATTTCAATTATTGCGATGCTGTCTATTCATCTTTTATTTCCTATCTGTCTAAAAGAAAGATACAAAAGGTGCAAAATTCGTGTTTGCGGTTAATTTTCGGAATTAGACGGCGACAGCATGTTGGTCACCGGTTGCTTGATTTGAATTGGTTGAATATGTGTAATCGTCGGGCATTGCACTCAGCTTGTCTATATCACAGGATTATCACCTATCAGAAGCCTTCATATTTATATGATAAGATTACATTCCGATCTGACGTGCATACATTGAATATAAGATTTAGAGGCACGCTGACTCCCCCGATACATAGCCTTCAGCTCTTTAAGAAATCGTTTACATACCAAATTGCTAAAATATACAATGATATGCCGTTAGATGTAAGATCGTCTGCAACCGTATACACATTTAAACGGAAATACTCTAGGTATTTGTCTGGCTTAGCTTGAGGTGTCGTGGTCTATCGCATTCGCATTTTTATCTTGTCGATGACGAGGACGACATGTTATATTTTTTTTTCTCTTCATTTGTTTATTATTTGGTTAGTGTTCAAGTGTGTGCAAGTTTATGTGTTGAGTTTTTGAGCGCTGCTGTTTTTCTTTTTGTTGTCGTGTTTTTCTTTTGGCGTAATTGAAAAGCGGTTTTCTACCGAATTGCGCCATTTTTCCAGAAAGAATGTTTTGTGATGGAAATTAAGTTTAGTTTTAAGTAAATTAGTTTAAATTAATTTTTTAGTAAATTAAGATTAGTTTTGTGAATGTATTGATTTAATTTTTTGTCTTTGTTTTTTTTATTCTCTTTCTGGAAAATAAATGCATTATTATTATTATTATTATTATTATTATTATCATATGATGACTTGGTAATTCTGACATGGTTCTGATAAATTGGTACATTCCATTTAAAATAACGAAGTGGGGTCAATTTCCAGTATAACTGGAAGTTAGAGAAATCTGAAAATATTTAGCTGAAACGAGCATCTCGAATAAACGCCATATGCAAATTTTCAGAAAAATAGTGCCAGTAATTTGCCACATACATATAGACTCACCTCGTCATGACAGAGCCTGTATATCATCTACACAGTAGAATGTATGTGATTAACTTCAACGTTTTTTAAAAATTGAAGGCTAAAATTGTTTAAAAAAAAACTTGTTTAGGTAAGGTTATACCTTATTAGAAATTCTCCCTTTAAACAACTTTTTAATGACGACTATTAGGATAATATTTATTATTTATTAAAAATACTATTCGTTTTTGAAATAATTTTTTTTCTTTACATTATTTCAGGTCATTCCAAATTTATTCCACACAGCGAGTATCTGGTTAACATTAGCTTTGGCTGTACAGAGATACATTTACGTTTGTCACGCGCCGATGGCAATCAAGTTATGTACATTACCCAACGTGTACAAATGTCTAACATACATAATGATAGTAGCGGCTATACATCAAGGTACTAGGCTCACCGAGGAAGATTACAAGTCGGTAAGTTTTGAACGTGCCTAATACACAAACATAAACATATTTATTAGAAAATATTGATTATAACTTTGTGGTTCAATAATCACAATTTGAATTTATTCCGAACAATTTACCTCGAGTTAATCGTTATTATTAAACCGTTCAGTAAACAATTTCATTTGCTAATTAAATGTTTTGGTTAGGAGTTCAATTATAAATGAAATGTTTGCATTAATAATTAATCAATTCAATTTGAAATAACAACATAGCTAAACTTTATTTACAATTTTAGCCAATTTTAGTCTGTCGCTTTTGTTGCATTTTGGTTGCAAATTTAAAATGCTCCTCCTACTTTAAAAATAAGATATAATGGCTGTGATTTAAACAGAAAATTGTATACTTAAGTTATTTGAAAGAGAATTACGATAACAAGGATAATCTTAGATAATCACAGAACGTTTTCATACTGAAATAGATGGCCAATAAAATAAACAAATCACCTTGAGTGATGATTCAAAGCGAAAATGATCTTAACGATCATTAAATTTGCATCCTATTACGAATAGCAAACAACTTCCAATTAGGTGGCACTCTTTATTATTGAAGTAGTGTCAGGTGGTTCAAATGGTATAAAAGCGTAACGATAATTAGTGAGGAAAATCGATTTTATGTGAATACAAAAAAAAAATTATTGAAATAAACAAACAAATGAAACGATTAACTGAGAAATAAAAGACAAAATTATTACCTCTATTCGAATAGTGGATGGGATGTTTTAAAATATTTACATGTTTATTGTGGGTATTTATTTATTTATCCGATTTTGAAAGAATTAATATTTATATTTTACTTCATTATTTGATGTAAAAAATTAAAAATTTGCATGGAAGCTATGAAATCCACGAAACATAAAATTTATCCGGAAATAACCTTCATTCTATATTTGTGTTAGAATAAACGATAACTTCAAATTCAATAAACGTGTCATTTTAAATATCACAGGGATAAATTACCTATTTACACTCTCAGTAAATATTCATTCCTAACGTTTCAAATATTTCCTTTTTATTGAAAATCGTTTTATTATAAACTTATTTATCAACAGAAAAGGTTAAAAAAGAAAGTAAACTACTTCACTTGAAATTGCTAGGATGGATTTGCATACTTGATCAGTAAAAAGGTAGGTAATGCTCTTACTACGTTAAAATGCTTGAACTTTTTCCATGCAAAATTAAATTTAATCATTTCATTGGATTACTTACTAAAACGTGCTTGTGAAATTTGTCACGTTGCAAAATTATTTGTATTTTTTCGCGATATAAAGAACGATTTAAAGAGATTTTAATTGGAATTGAGACATAAAAGAAAATTGCTTTATGATTCTATAATTATTATTCTTGGAAGGAGCTTAACGATTATTATCTAAAATTTGGATGTGAGCCAAATGCTTTCGCAGGTAAACTATAAACGATAAGGAAGAAAAATAATCTCAGGAAACGCGACCAATTTTTCAAGTTCTCTTTTCAAGTTCAAAAGTCTAAGACTTTTGAACTTAGACTTACATTTTCTTACAATAAAGTTTTTCGTAGTGTTAAGTTAACTAATATCAAAAAATTTAATAAACTTCAGAATCAATGTAAATTTGAAAAAGTAGTGAGGAATAATGATGCTTGGTTTGTTAATAAGAGTGATGTGGAGGAAGAGAAGACCCTTTGTTAATTCTAAAAGCTGATAAGGGCCAGGTAACTGTGGCAATGAATCGGTCAGAATATGTGCATAAATCGTTAAGTTTGTTCAGTGATCAATCAACTTATGTGGTTCTCTCACGAGATCCTACTACTACCATTCAAAACAAAAATAATAAATTTTCAAAGTTGTTACTTGAAAAGGATTACATTGAGAAACCTATTTACAACAGGGATTGTCCTTTAAGACCAATCATTTCCTTCGTTGGTCCACGTATGAGTTGTCGAATTTTGTGGCTCGTATTCTGACTGAAGCTTTCAGAGAGAGGACTTAGTATAGTATTAAAGACACTTTCACCTTTGTTGAAGAGATGAAAAGGAGAACCATACCTCCTAATTTTGTGTTGATCTCTTTGGATGTTGTCTCTTTGTTTATTAATATCCCCTTGTCATTAGTAAAACAAATCATAACTGATAATTGGGACATCGTACAAGTTGTAACCCAAATCGACAGAGACCTTTTCATTGAGATAATAACTTTCCTCTTTGGATCTTCTACTTTTTCCTTTGATGGAAGGATTTACAGTCAGAAGTTTGGCACACCTATGGGTAGTCCCTTGAGCCCAATCCTCGCTACCATTTTTAAGTATGTTGATGACATCATCTCCTCAGTTCCTTCCGATTCCGTTGACACTGTCCTCAGAGTATTCAACAGCTTTGATCAACACCTTCAGTTCACTGTAGAGACAGAGGTTGGGTCATCAGTCCCTTTTCTTGATACTATGATAGTCCCTATGATACTATGAATTGGTACACTAAACCTACATACTCTGGGAGATACATCAACTATCATTCCAACCACCCTATTAATCAAAAAATTAATGTTGTCGTGGCAATGTGTAACAGAGTGAAGCTGATTTCTGATGAACGGTTCCTTAAAGATAACTTAAAAAAACTTCAAAATATTTTCTTAAACAACGGTTATCCCCGTAGTCTCTTGCTTGGTATACTCAATCATAACAATAACTTTCATTCATCCTTTGTTAATCTCAGGAATACTGACAGTCCTAACGGTCCTCAAGGGAACCTCTCAGTTGTTCCAAGTTTTGCATACATGAAAATCTCCTTCGTTCCCAACTTAACACCTCAGTTGATGTCTGTTCTGAAGACTGACTCTATAAAATTTGCAAAATTTAATGTTAGACCTCTTTCTTGTTTATTCTCTAAAACCAAGGATCATGTTCCCCTTCTAGCCCAGTCTCACGTAATTTACAGAATACCTTGTAATAATTGTAATGGTGCATATATTGGTACCACTACACAATATCTATCGAATAGAATTAACCAGCATAAAAGAGATTGCGTAGCTAGAAATGAGAAAAAAAGTGCTTTAGTTGCCCATCATGTTAATGAAGGTCACCATTTTGATTTTAATAATACAACTATCATAGAAAGGGAACAAGTATACCAAAAAAGGTTATTTTTAGAGATGGTCTATATTAACAAAGAAATAAAACCAGTTAACTTTAGAACTGATATCGATTATTTAAGTTCAATTTATAGTTACCTTTTATCCAATAATTGGCAGTCNCCCCGATAGATATCATTATCAAATTTCACCGTGCAGTCCAATGCTCTTAACGAACATTAATACCTTGCTCGGCGAAAGGTCATTCAGATCTTTTGAGGAGATAAACTGCGACCCAAAAATCGAGAATCTGATACGGTTAACGGCAGGGCAGTGGCATAAAACATGCTCAACCGTCTCTACTTCCTCCGCACATAGTCGGCATTCAACATCGTCGGCTAAATCGAACAAGTTGAGGTGTGCTTTTAGTCGGCAGTGTCCAATAAAAACACCCATTAGAACTTTTATGCTACTACGGGCAAGTCCTAAAATATTTCCGGGTCTCATTCCAAGAGAACTGGTCCACAGTAGGCGAAGTCTCTCTTCAGTCCACAGTCCAATTCTATATTTGGCAAATATGTTGCCAAATATCGTTGTAGTACTAAACAGGATATGAAAGATAAAATGATAACGTTAACTAACTAACAGTTTAAAGAATATATTATTAGCGTTCAAAATGCTGGTCAGAGTCAAACAGTACAATTTTCTGGAAATTTTTTGAAATGCTCGTCTAGATTTAATGGATCAAAAGACGCGGACGTTGCAGCGTTTGTAGATGCTATCGAAATGTATAAGAGTGTGCAAATGTATCCGATGAGAATACTCTACGAGGATTGTCAATGCTTTAGATGACTTTGCTCTGAGTTACTGGCACTGAAGTTGGAGATAAAGTTTTGGTTTGACACGCATGTACTTAGTAATACTGACAATAAAGTTTCTGGAAAGTTTGTTCCAAAACGTGACGTTACATAGTTACAAAAATTATCAGCCCTACTAGTTATCAGGTTTCAGATCCTCAACAGCCTGAAATTCGTTTATGCAAATACTATTCACCAGCCTTGAAAGCTTGCCAAGATAATAAACCGACGCAACCTCGAGTCTCGTTTCGTAGAAGAGGAAGACCTAAGAAAAATATTGCTGATTCTTCGTCGGGTCGGCGTCAGAGTCAGAGGGGGAGCCTGTAACGCAAAATAAAAATTACAGATAGACACCGGGAATCAAGAAATCCGCGTGTGTATTCTAGAAGACTACTACCAGCAGAAGACTTAAACCTGTTTGTCGATAAATACATTTTGCTCTCAAAAGGTTAAGAACTGCTAATAGAAGACTAAATATTAATTGTAGAAATGGAATACCGCTGAAAGAAGCTAGATTCTGCAAGCAGTGAATTAGATACTGCTAATGGAAGACTAGATAAGGTTTGCAGAAAACTACTTACAGTTTGCACAAGACAAAATATTGCTGGTAGAAGACTAGACACTGTTTCTAGAAGACTTCAAATAGCAGAAGGCTAATACCTGTTTGTTGGTAAATACATTTTGGTCTCAAAAGCAAATGTCTGCCCGAACCAGAGAATTTTTATTTTCGATCCAGGACTGCCGCTCAGGCAGTACAATCTGGTATCGAGCATTAATCACTGATAGTGATACCGCCAAATCTGACGGCATTGATAGCACAGTATCAGTGCTTATAATGTCTTCCGCAGCCCATTGGTAGGACATGTCGGAACAGTTTTGAGCATATTGCTTAAATCTGTAAATGGTTGTTCTAGCCACTTTCTCTATATGCAAATGCAGAGGAGATAGGCCAAGCAGAACCTCCATTGCTAGAGTTGGCGTTGTGCCTATCGCACCAGAGATTGCCAATCCAGCTACTCGTTGAATTCGTGAAAGTTTACTGATAACTGAAGTCTGTCGGACTTTCCTATACCAGGCTGCTGCTCCGTATGTGATCATAGGTCTAACCACAGTCACATAGAGCCAGTACAGTCTTTCAGGGGTAAGACCCCAATTTTTTCCACAAAGACTGCGACAAGTCCACAAGGATAGTCTAGCTTTGTGCAAAACTCCCTGCAAATGTCCATTCCATGACAGGGTTTTGTCTAGGATTACTCCTAGATATTTGACTTCCTTTGAGAAAGGAATTTCTTCACCTTGGATAGTTGGGCGGATTAGTCCATCCAACTTTCGCTTCCTGGTGAAGGGCACAACAATTGTCTTTTGCGGGTTTATTGAGAGGTTCTCTCCCTTACACCAAGCGCAAATGGTATCTAGGGTCACCTGGAGGACTTTAGATATCCTCGGCAAACAGGTTCCTTTGACCATAACGACAATGTCATCAGCATAAGCTTGTATTTCCACACCAACGGCTTCGACTATCGCAATCAGATCGTCAACTAGGAGGGACCAAAGCAGGGGAGATAACACCCCTCCCTGCGGGCAGCCACCTCCCGGCCTGAAGCGTATCGTATCACCGTGGAGTGAAGTAGAAACTATTCTACTATCTAGCATATTGCGGATCCAACCCGCTATAGTTGCTTCCACTCCCCTGTCAAGAGCAGCTCTTTCAAGAGATTGTGGTATTGCGTTGTTGAACGCTCCCTCTATATCCAGAAACGCACAAACCAAGATTTCTTTATCCTGCAGCGTCCTGGATACTCTACCAACTAAGTTGTGTAGAGCCAATTCTGCTGATTTTCCCGCTTGATAAGCATACTGGTGGCGACTCAGTGGACCAGATACCAATGGCACCGTACGGATATACCGTTCCAGAACTTTTTCAAGGGTTTTCAGCAGAAATGACGTTAGGCTGATGGGTCGAAAGGCATTAGAAGTAGGGACCGAACGGCCCGCTTTGGGTATGTAAGATACCCGTACCTTAGTCCATTCTGCCGGCACATATTTCCAGGCGACACTCGCTCTGAAAATTTTTACCAAAATTGGCAACAACAAAGACCTCCCCTGCTGTAACAAAGCAGGAAAGATATTGTCTTCTCCAGGCGATTTGAACGGCTTAAACGTTTGAATTGCCTGGTCCACGGATGTGTAAGTGACGACTTTTCTAGCCACACTCCAATCCGTATTTGAGGGGCGCTTTGCCTTGCAGGAATAGCCCGCTGTGGCATTATCGGCCCTCATCATCAGGCTTCCTGGGAAGTGAGTCTGCATGAGAAGCTCCAACGAGGCTCTGCTAGAGTCCGTAAAACTACCGTCAGGCCGCCTAAGTGAGCCCAGGGGTAGTGCCGGATCTCTAGCGAGAATCTTGTGAATTCTTGCACTGCTAGGTGTGTCTTTCACTCCCTCACAGAACCTCCTCCAAGACTCTCTTTTTGCCTTACGTATGTTTTTGGTGTAATTCATATAAGTCTATTCGTATAACCGTATAAGGTCATATTTAGTAGCAGGGATGACTGGGCGAAAGGAGGGCCACAACTAAAAAGAGGAGCCCTAGCCTGGTACACCGATGCTTCAAAGACAGTAAGATCTGGAGTAGGCATGGGCATCAGTGGGCCAAATAGCCACATCAAATTGCCCCTCAGCTCGGACTTAACAATTTTCCAAGCAGAAGTTCTTGCTATAAACTTCTGCACCGCTTTGAACCTACAGAAGGGACAAAAAGGTGCATCCATAAACATTTTCACAGACAGTCGGGCCGCCTTAAAGGCAATTCAGGCCTACACGTGTGGCTCCGCACTGATCAGAGAGTGCACCAACAACCTGAGAGAACTCGCTAGGGGCAATGATGTTACCCTATGGTGAGTTCCAGGTCACAGCAACATTGAGGGCAACGAAAAGGCCGACAAGCCGGCCAAAGAGGCAGCAAACACGCCCTTCATTGGACCCCAACCTGGATGTGGACTACAAAAAAGCCACCTAAAACAAATAATCAACAACTGGGAGGCTTCAAAGATAGCCTTACGCTGGAAAGAACTTACAATAGATCTTATAGGTCGCTGTAACGAGAGGGGCCGCCCTCCTCAGCCCGGCAGCAATAATAATAATAATGTCTTGGCCCGGTTGAAAAGCTTTCGGACCTCTTGTCTTTCGGAGCTAAGAGATTCGTTCCACCAAGGTGTGCCCCGAGTTGCAATTAACTAAATAAATGATTTATTTATTCATTAATTTATTTTGATTAAGCACTATAAGATAATTTCCATAAAAGCTCCATTACATTATTGGATATAACGTATAAATCCTTTTTTAGCATAATTACAACGCCGACATCAAGTTTCAATTGGTTTCCATTCACTATCAGTCATTACATTTCCGTTCCCTTTTCGCATTGAATTCTAACGCCTGATTTAGGATGCAACTATGTCATCCGTAATGGACGGACGATTTTTAAGCCCTCACTCGCTTTATTATTGTGCTCCCGAAGTCGTTTCATTTGCATTTACATTGTGAAATTCACCGTGAATTTTAACATTTTTAGTTGGAGATTTACGAATTAAAATAAAATCGAAATTAGTATTTTGTTATCATTGATAATACCAATTGAAACTTCTACAATTATCAATAGTGCTATAAATTTTAACGAGTTTCCCTTATAGGGGATAACCAAACGTTTCAAGATTATAAATTTTAATTATTATCTATTTAGTTCATGAATTATTTCTGTGTAAAGTTTATAACAATTAAATAATTCTTTTTGTAGGTTGTGATTGAATGGAATAACCAAAGAGTACACGTTTGTAATAAAACAACAGCAGCATGGATTCGGGATTACATCACAGAAGATATTTACTATTCGGTTTATTATCTTTTTAGGGTAATATTTGTTCATTTAATTCCGTGTATAGCTCTTGTAGTGCTCAATTTCCTATTATTTCGAGCTTTGAAGCAAGCTCAACAAAGACGCGATCAATTATTATCGAATAAAAATCAAAAATCCGAATGTAGAAAATTGCGTGATTCGAATTGTACAACACTTATGCTCATTGTAGTCGTAACAGTATTCTTAATTGTTGAAATACCTCTCGCTGTAGTTACATTACTGCACGTCCTATCATCCTCGGTCTCGGTTTTAAAGGGATTTTTAGATTACAAGGTTGCAAACACTTTGATTTTGTTCACAAATTTCTTTATTATTTTAAGTTATCCGATTAATTTCGCAATTTATTGTGGGATGTCGCGACAATTTCGCGAAACTTTTAAAGAATTATTCATCCGGGGGACTATTACAAATCGAAACAGCGGTTCAACAAGGTATTCTCTGGTTAACGGACCGAGAACATGCACAAACGAGACTGTATTGTAAATTAATTAAAGTATCTACGATGATGTGGTGTAATTTAAAAATTAGATAAATTAGTTTAATTAGAAATAACGAGTCGAATTAATTTATTTATTATTATTTATTAAGTCGATGTTTGTAAATAACTTTGTAGATAAATCAAATACTTGGGTCTCGGCCAATACTTTCAACGAAGTGAGCCCTATTTTGAAAGTATTTTGCTGATACAATATGAAAAAAAAAGTATTTGAGATTATTTGTGTATATTTGTGTATATTCAATGGAAATGAATATTATAAATTTAATGTAAAATAGATGTAATGTTTAAGTGTGAATCTATTCTATGTGTAAATAATAAAGAAAAATATTTAAAGATTTCTCTTTTAATAATGAGGTAAGTACTAAAATGCCACCCTTAATTTAATTCATCAAAAGGAGCACAGAAAAAAGACCAAAGAAAGTAAGTTGAAATTAAATTTTTCCTTAAACTTTTTTAAATCAATTATTTCAAAGTTGTTGGTTCAAAATGTACCAAGTTAAAAGTATTCTTTCGTACAACGAAAAGTTTATAGAATAGACGTGTTAACCCACTTTAACGTTCTGTAGTAAAAGACGGTTGTAGTTACGTGTCGAGGTTTAACCCATAAAATCTGTAATTTTACAACGAAATATTCGAGTTCTACAACCGTCTGTGTGGGTATATTAAGCTTCTTCGTTAAAAATCTTTTTTATGGGAAATAAACCATTTTTCTATATTTGGAACATACTGATTTTTCCATTCTATATTTTCATCAATAATTTTTAGTGCATAACCAAAATATTTTTGTCCATATTTTTGATTAAGATTTTTTATCTAAAAATATATAAAGATATTAATAAATAATACAAATGACAGTTTCGTGTTAAGCGAGTCAATATACCATTTTATCCGATTAAGCCGAAGTTGCTTGCGTTTAAGGCTCTACAGCAGTGTTTCTCAAAAGGTGTGCCGTGAATATCTTAAAGTGTGCCGCGAAATTTTGAAAGTCTTTTAAATTTATTAATTTAAATTAAATTTCTACTGTGCGCCGTACTCTCGTAAAGCCATCTATTGACTAAAGAG